TATAACGCGACCAATATAACATGAATTCAGATATAACGCGGTAAAGCAGTGCTCCGGGGGGGCGGGGCTGCGCACTCTGGTGGATCAAAGCAAGTTCAATATAACGTGTTTTCACCTATAACGCGGTAAGATTTTTTGGCTCCTGAGGACAGCATTATATCGAGGTAGAGGTGTACTAAAATATTCCCGCCCCCTCCCCCCGGTACCTCTTTGCTTTCATTAATTCATGCTAGTTGTCTACATCCAGAGTTGTCAAATAATTATTCATGCATATACTGCCTGCCTGAAAAGCATTTTAATCAGCACATATGCAAGGAAATGGGTTACACCCAAGTGTATTTCATCTTTGTAGAGGAAGAATTACCAGCTGATTTGTCAGTCAGTCAATATGCTTTTATTTCAGACCATCATGCTGACATTAAGAAGTTGGTGGAGGTTCTGTTTCCCTGCATATTATCCTGTGTTTGGGATACTCAGTTGCAATGTTTGTTCAAGTGGAATAGTTGTATGGCTACAGAAGTTAGTTTGCGCCTTTACATTCATTCCCCCTGGTATTATGTGTTTAGGGAAAAACACTTTAAGGATAGAATACATGCAAAATCCTACAGCTGGTCAAGATTTTTCTGCTGAGATTTTTGTTGTTGAACAATGCAGTATTTTGCAAAAAAAAAGTAGTGTGATTTCAACAATATTTTTGATTTTTAATGAAAAATTCCAAATAAAAAATGTTTTGTTTGAAATGGGAATTTTCATTTTGCTTTTTGACAAACCAAAATTGTTTTAGATTCCTCTCCCCCCATCAATAAATTGAAACTTTCCCCAAAATATTCTAAATGAAGTAGTTTTGTTTCAAAAAAAAAAAAAAAATTCAACCGGCTCTATATAACGGCTAGGCATTTATTATTATTACCACATCATCGTATTCTAGTATCTGTTGTGATTTAAAAAACTGTTTGTCATGGAGATGAGGATGGCCAACCCCAGAACTCCAGAGCTGAAATCCCCAGATCCAAACTCTGGAAAAGCTCAGATCTGAATCAGATCTAAACTTCAGGATTCAGAATTTTTTCTAATGAGCCAAACCAGAAAGCCAGATGTGATATCCTCCTCTCCCTCCTCCCGTGCCGCCTCCCAACTCACACGCAGGAGTTTGGGAAAATTCAAATGCCATCAACTATGTTAGGTAGTTCCAGTTAACTGGAAATCAATTAACACATTATAAACTCTGGTGTAGACTGAGGTCAGGACTACACTGCAGACCTATATCGATATAACCACCTCGCTTAGGGATTTGAAAAATCCACATTCCTGAATGATGCATTTATACCGAACTACCCCCCATGTACACAGCCCTATGTTGATGGAAGAGCTTCTCCCATTGACATTGCTACCATCTCTCAAGGAGGTGGATTAACCGTCTCCCAAGGAGCTGCACTGCTGTAGCACTGTATGTGACGACAGGCCCATATTCAAGAAAAGCATGTGGCCCACGCATTCCACCTTTTATAGCCAGAATGGGGAGTTCTTTGGTAGGAATTACAAATCAGTTAAGTACATTAATAATTATTTTTATTTTGCAGTGTTTTATTGATAGAACATCAATTTGCAGCAGCCACAGTTATAAAAGAAATCTCTCTTAAAAAGTTTTGGTGCATGAAGAATTTATTCTTACAGACATTTAGTTCTTTTATCAGTAAATTTCCACAAGCAGGCTTTATGTTTCTCTCATTTTACCAGCTTATCCACCTCTCAGATAGGATTATATTTAGCAGCATCTATGACACAGCTGTAGTCATATAGGCCTTGATTCCAGCTAAGCACATGCTTAAGTACTTTCCTGAATCAGGGCCAGGTCTACGCTAAAAAAGGTTTGCTGGTAGAACCTTCCTAGTGTAAACACAGCTTGTTCTGGCAAAAAAAGTTTTATACAAATACCCTGAGCAAAATAAGCTATACAAGCAAAAGCACTAGTGTGCGTGTGTGTGTGTGCATGCTCCACACACACACACCCCACCCCTACGCCCGCTTAGCTGGCACTGCTATACCAGCAAAAGTTCTACTGTAAACCTGGTCTTAGTAATGGTGGGCAAAAAACCTGCTGCGGGTTCCTCTGCAGTTAAACTCCTCAAGTGCCAGCCCTTCCCCTGGTGACTCACTTTGCTGCTGGCATGATACAAAAATACAACTCAAACATTCCTCCCTCTCCCTGCCTTCAGGGCAACTGCTGGGAAAGGTTACCACTCCCTTTCCTCTCTAGTAGATTCAGGCTGCCAATGAATTGATTCCAAACCCCAGCCAACACCACAGACTTGCTATTGACATACTGTACAAGGCTATAATTATTATGACAATTTATTGCCTGGAACACAAGTTCTCCCAAGCAAGGAAGACTAGAGGCAACATCTTATGACAGACCTCTCAGCTGTCTCTCTGTAGGCCACTGCTCACATAAGCATATATGAATATATGTTCCATTTTAAGAGCCGTCATCTTTTGTACTTGGCATAGACCTTCCAGTTACCAGTTTTTGAGTGGGGAGGGGGTGGTTTGGGACATACTATAATAATAAATAATAATAATAATAATAAAAAAATCATGACACTGAGGATGTGTTTCCATAACAACATGCTAGTTATAACCCAATCAAAAGTTAGGATTGTGGGGGAAACAAACCTTTTGGGGAAGAACTATTACTAGACGCTCCAAAACCACACAATGGGCTGGGTGTCAATATCTAGACAAACAGAGAGAGAGAGAGAGAGTGTGTGAGTGTTTGGGCCAGATTCTCAGCTGGCATTCATCAACGGAGCTACACCTGCTTCCGTTTATATCAGCATAGCTCCACTGGAAGAGAATTTGGCCTGCTTATTTTACACTCACTATAAAGACTGAAAGCTCCCAGCCATCTGCATTGCATAGCCTAGGGTTACCATACGTCCGGATTTTCCCGGACATGTCCAGCTTTTTGGGCCTCAAATCCCCGTCCGGGGGGAAATCTCAAAAAGCCAGACATGTCCAGGAAAATCAGGACATGCGGG